CAGCACCGTAATTGATGCATAAGTGCATCAATCCTCCTTTGGTCTCATTCATTGTCCAACATTCTTTTCTTTTCTTTTTTTAATCGTTTTATTAGGTGCTCATACAACTCTTATCACAATCCATACGTACATCAATTGTGTAAAGCACATTTGTATAGTCATTGCCCTCATCATTCCACTTAAGCCCCTGGCATCAGATGCTTGTTTTATCTCCTCCCTCCCCGCTCCCCACTCTCTCATGAGCCCTTGTTAATTTATAAATTATTATTTTGTCATATCTTACCCTGTCCATCATCTCCCTTCACCCACTTTTCTGTTGTCCATCCCAAGGGAGGAGGTCACATGTACGGTTCCCCCTTTCCAACCCACCCTCACTCTATGCTCCCAGTATCCCCAGTCACACCACTGGTCCTGAAGGGATCATCTGCCCTGGATCCCATTGTCCAACTTTCATATGCATATGAAGCAATAAAAAATACCATGGCTTGGCTCAGGCACTTTAGCCCTCAAAATGACCACCTTGCTTTTCAACGCTTTATATAAAGAGGTCTTGTGCAACAGATTTACCCAATGAAATGCCTGGCATCAGAGCCCCATGTTATGGGCAGGTCAATCCTGGCTCTATGAGCCCTTTGATGGGGATGTCTGAGTAAGGGACACATACATTTATGTGGATAAATATGGGGCAAGAGTGAGGTTGAGAACATTTGACAGCATACAAAAGAGAGATCAGAAGCTGGTTCCTGGACCCCAGCTTCGTTGGGTAGAGTGACTTCCACATTCCTCATCCACTTGCTGGACAGGCTCCCTTACCTTGATGTGAAAGCAGTGGTGTGGAGCTGACTGCTTCTCTAAGAACAACCCCTGTTGTTTCAGGTGAGATCAAGCTCCCGAACGACTACTGCAGCACTGACTTAGACCTGGACACTCCCTTTGAGGTCATCCTGCCACGTCGCCGGGGACGGGGCCTCTGTTCCACTGCCTTAGTCAGCTACTTGATCAGGCTTCACAATGAAATGGCCTACACGGTGGAAAAATTCTCCAAGGACAATGACAGGTGAGCGCACAATCCTACAGGAAACCCAGCCCGTGGAGTCATTTCTGATAGCCCTAGGTTCTCTAGGGCAGACACGAGCCAAGCTTCATCCTTGCTCCCCAGTGTCCCCCGATGTGTCTATCCAGAACATCACTTAGCAACTGAGTCAGGGCAACCTAAAGGCCACAGCAGGTGTGTAATGACAGGGACTGAGCACTGTGTATTATGCCCCTCAGCTACTCCATCGATGCCTCTGAGGTCACCGAGCTGCATGTCATCAGTTATGAAACAGAACGGGACTTGGTGCCCCTGATCCTCTCCAACTGCCAGTACAGAGTGGAACAAGGTGGAGAAGCCCTGCAAGAGTTTGACCTGGAGAAGATCCAGCGGCAGGTCATGAGCCGATTTCTCCAGGGCAAGCCCAGGCTTACCCTGAAGGTATGGCTGCATCTGTGGAATGCCCATTGCATTTGACTTCCAGCACAACAGTTTTCTTTAATTTTTTTATTGAGAATTAGGAAAAGGTTTACAGGCAGATCAATTTTCCATTCTATAATACATATGTATATTTCATGTCATTGATTGCAATTCCTACAACATAGCTTGTATTACTTCCTGTTTCCTGATTCCATTCCTCCTTCTTTACTAACTCTTTGAACTTTGTCCTTGTGTAAATTCTATCCCATTGATCTTAACTGGGTCATTATTGTACAGAATGGGCAGCTCCTTCATGTCATTGCTTCCCTTATGGTTGCTGTGGTAGGTTCCCTTGAGTGTGTTCTGCCCCATCATGACTCAGTGTACAACAGAGTCAAACACTGTCCGGTTCTGTACCATCCTTAAAATAGGTGGGTTTTTCCGAGCCTATTGTTGTAGTGATTGTGTCTATACATCTTATTAAGGGTCTTTCTTTTTTGCTGACCCTCTACTTTGCCACCCATGAAGTCCCTGTCCAGGAACTGGTCTCTCCTGATAATGTGTCCAAAGTCTGTCAGATGAACTCTCGCTATCCTATCATCTAAGGAGCATTCTGACTTACAGACCTATTATTTAGCTGAAAAACTGAGCCACAGGGGTGAGTTCTTTTCCAGACCTGAGGGGTGACTGAGAGTCATAGTCTTGGGATTCAGCCAGTAAGACTAGTCATTTTTATGAATTTGGATTTTGTTCCACCTTTTTCTCCCACACTATCCAAAACCTTCAAATGCAATCCATATCAGAGTAGTTGGGAATGTCAGTTGGACTCTGCCTAGTGCCTCTGGTCTTGGGGTTGTAGATGGTCAAGTGTGCATGGTCAATTAGCCCAATGGAATAAGTATTTCCATGTGGTATGTCCATCTGATGTGGCTTCCATCACAGTGACTTCAAAGTGAGGCCAGTGCAAGGTGTGTTATCCAGGGTCATCTAATGCACACCACAGTCCAAGAAGCACCATTCACATGTGCACCACTGGGTTGGACAGACTTCCTGAGCTTTCTTCTATATCAGCCCCTGCACCTCATTACTACAGATACATCTTCAAATCCTATTTGTCAGAGGTCTTCTATGTCAGCAAGTCGTATCACCAACTAACAGACAAATCTCACAGCCACCCTCTTTCTCTTCTTTCTTTTAGCCCCACACATCAGGTACTATGTGGTGTGTCTTTTCTGTGTCCCTCTGAATTATTACAACCACTACTCTGGCTCATACTCTCTGCCCTGAAGACAGACCCGGCACTGGCTCTTATCTAGACACCTTGCCTCCTCTTCCTTCAGCCCTGTTATCATCAATTCACTGTACACAGGAGGTATCCACAACCCAAACCTGCCTTCATAAGACTGGTAGCCTTGCTCCAGCCTCCATCCAATCCACTTCCAGCCTCTGTCCCTCCCCACCTCAGTGTGTGTGTGTGTGTGTGTGTGTGTGTGTGTGTGTGTACACTCAAAACTGACCCAGGGCTCCTACTCCAGCTACTGACATACCCTACCTTTTTTAATTTTTAACTGTTCTTTTACCTCAATTGTGCTTGTGACTTCAAGAACCCAGACAAATACACATGTGAGATCAGATGCCATCCTGCAGAACACCTGGTCTGCTAGCAGTGTGGTTACTTTGTTCAGGGTCTGGGTACAATAGTGGTTGAGAGAATATATGAATGAGCTCTCCTCCATATCTTTCTTTCTCGAACTTTTGGGGCTGCTGTATTCTACCTGCCAGTATCTGCCTGGCCACTGTGGCAGGCCAGATTCTTTGCTGTGTTGTTCTTTTCCCTGACTGTGTGAGGTAGATGATATGTGGCACTCCCTGAATGGTCTGATGCTATAAATGAGTTTCCCTTGTCATCTGGAAAAAAACCTCAACAACAGGTTTCATTTTAAATATAAAATTGTTTTTGTTTTTAGGGACTACCCACTCTGATTTATAGACAGGACTGGAACTATGGACATCTCTTCATGGAAATCAAGAATAAGATATCACAGGTTTGCATGGTGCTTTTTGTCTACCTGAGCAACTTCATCTATATTATAGCTATGGCAAGCCCCACCCCCACCTCCAGGAGTTGCAATGACTCCCTGAGTATCTTCAAGGCAATGCTCTTTCCAAAGAGCAAACGGGACATCAAATTTGCAAATACTTTCTTGTTCAGTACAATCAGATTTCAGTTTGGTCGTAGTCTCTAGGTCATGGGCATGTGTGCTAAGGAAAGGGCAGAGAGCGTACTCGTGCACATACTATCTTGAGACACAGATCACCAGATAAACACAGGACTAGTTTGAGAATTAAGTGGGTTCATATGTATTTCTGTGCAATATCTGGATTACTGTGGACACTAAGGAACCCTAACGTCTGTCTTAATATCCATCTGTTATTATTGTAGTTGGGGTATTTGTCTCAGCTTGGTGTTGGGCAATGAAGAAGAAAAGCTCTTCTACCAGGTAGCAATAAACCAGAACTCCAACCCATGCTCCGCCCCTTTGCTCCCCAGAGCACTCTCCCCTACTCGGTCCTCAGCGCCCTCCGTGGACAGCTGCAGTCCTTCAGCGACGCCTGTGAAGCTCTGTCGGTCACAGAAGTCACCTTGGGCTTTCTGAGCACAGCGGGTGGTGACCCCAACATGCCCTTGAAGGAGTATATCCAGGACGTCCTGCGAATGCGTGATCAGACAAGCCCTGCTTTACAGGTCGGTCTTACATTAAGGTTTTGTCAAAAGCAGTCTGCATGGCCCCTGGCCTCAGTTTCCACACTTTGTACTAGAAATGTCACTATTCAGGGACGATTAACCCAGGCGCCCTGAGAAGGAGGTGCAAAGAGAACACCGGCTCGCCCGGTGGTCCACGTGTAGACAGAATGCACTCTGGGCAGCACAGACAGCGATGTGCTTGAAATGCTAATCATGTAGACCAGGCGTCCTCAAACTACGGGCCGCATGGGGACCACCAAGGGCATTTATCCAGCCTGCCGGGGGTTTGCCCTGCTTGTTTTTTTACTTCAAAATAAGATCTGTGCAGTGTGCATAGGAATTTGTTCATAGTTGGTTTTTTCAAAACCGTAGTCCGGCCCTCCATCGGGTCTGAGGGACAGTGAACTGGCCCCCTGTTTAAAACGTTTGAGGACCCCTGGTCTAGGCAGTGCACCTGGATGTGGCTGAGGAACAAGCCGATGCCTGAGGATTCTGAAGGACCGGAGGAGGGAGGATCATTCAGAGGAGTTTGAAGCTGAAGCAAGGGCATCAGCAGCCTGCAATAGGGATGGTGTCACACGGCACAGAGAAGTGTACAGAGCAGAAAGGACCGTGTGGAAGAGCAGTCAGACCCACTGCCTGGAGGTGAGGCCTTCTCCGCTCAGGAGTCTGCTCCTCTTTCAGGCCTTAAGCGGTTGTCGGTTAAAGCACGTCACTGCCCTGTGGTGGTTCCTCTCTGCGCACAAGTGCGAACAGCTCCTGCGACAGGGAAAAGTAAGTCGCTCCCCGAGCCTGGACTGTGGGCAGCGCTCTCCTCCTCTGCTCCTGAGTGTCTGTTGGCACTTGTTCCTATTTCCCTTCAGGATCCCTTTAAGGACATCAGTTCCCAGTACAAAGTGCCTCTCAGGCCGGAAGCTGAAAAACTCCTCAGCACCTTCCTGCATCACACTGACCTCGAGGCCTTCTTGCTGGAGCTTCATGAAATGATGATCCTGAAACTCAAGAGCCCTCGCGCGGAGGAGGACTTCAACCCTGCGTGGAGGTAAGGCCTTCACTGCCCGATGTTCTGCTGTCTCCTTGTAACAACGGTTCTTGACTTAGAGCTGGATCTTTTGGTTTCAATCTCTATTGAGGTCAGTGTTGTTAATAATTATACAACGCATATATTTTCATTATAACAAGCTGACTTACTATGTCAAATACCAAAAAACCTAACTGGCATCGAGTGATTCCAACTCACTATGTCAAATAAAGAAGCATTTTTAATTTTATAGGAAGAACTCTATCAATGCTTAAATAGTATATCAGAACCATCCTTTACATTTTTACCCATCTGATGAGCCATACTATGGTACATCACTGTTTTCACTTGTTTCCTGATTTACTAGTGATGATGAGAATAATTCTACATTTATTAGCCATTTGTATATAATCTTCTGAATTACCTCTTGATAGCTTTTGGTTATTTTTCCTTTGGCTGTTTATCCTTTTCTTTAATGATTTGTAAGAGCTCCTTATACAAAATAGAGACTCATCTTTAATCAATGACGTATTAACAATGCTCTACGTCAGATTGTAATTTTGTATACTCAAATCTGATAGACTTGTCCTATTAAGTCTCCATAGGAAAACAGACCTCAATGGTCTTCTTTATCCCAAGGTTATAAAACATCTTCCCGTATATTTTTCTTATGCGTTTGTAATTTTATATTATACATTGTTTTTCCTAGCTTATTCTGGTGTGTGGTATGAAGTAAGGATTTCACTTTACTATGCCTTCTCTAACTAAATAGTCATACTTCAGTTATGGTGATCAATCTACTTCATATGTGTTTTTTGCTCCATTGTGCTCCGTGTGTATGCCTATAAACACTTGTATTCTTTGAACTTATTTAACTTTTACTACCCAGAGATTTTCATATAGAAAATGATCCCTTTCCTCAAGAATTTATAATCACTGTTAACATAAAATATTAAATGGAGTATAAGATTTCGTAGAACTGAGGCTTTGTTTTTCATAACCAGTCGCCATAATGTGTCAGAGCAGAACTGGGTTCCACATGGTTGTCAATGGTGGATTTTTCAGAAAGAGATTGCCAGGTCGTTATTCCAAAGTGTCTCTGCTCTGGGTAGACTCGAATCTCCAACCTTTGCATTTGCAGCTAACCTTGTTAACCCTTTGCTTCACCCAGGATTCCTTATGTTTTATATAGCTCTGAAAAGAAGTAGATAGCATTTCTATGTTTAACTCAATAGTTGAATGTCCTTATACTGGCTCCTCAATACTTTTTGGTTCTGTTAACAACTAAAACAAGTGACAAGTGATTGGTTCCCTTATATTATTTGGGAGCCTATTTTATTTGTTTTTAATTTTATTTTCCTACTCATTTCTTTTTTTTTAATAAATTATTTTGTTGGAGGCTCTTACCGCGATCCATATATCAATTGTTATCGAGCACATCTGTACATATGTTGCCATCTTCATTTCTAAAATATTTTCTTTCTACTTGAGTCCTTGGTATCAGCTTCTCTTTTTTCCCTTCCCTTCCTTGATAATTTTGTTCATCTCCCTGTGGTGGTGGTGGGGGCGGGTTGTACATCGATCATTGCGATGGGTTTTCCCCTCTCCCCACCCCCCCCCACCTTTCCCCTAACCTCATGGTATTGCTGTTCTCATTATTGGTCCTGAGGGTTTATCTGTCCTGCATTCTGTGTGTTAAGAGCTCCTATCTGTACCAGTGTACATGCTCTGGTCTAGCAGATTTGTAAGCTAGAACTGTGGTTATGATAGTGGGGAGGGCAGGAAGCATTAAAGAACTAGAGAAATGTTATGTGTTTCATCAATTCCTTGTGACCCTTCTGTGAGGGGATGTCCAATTATCTACAGATAGGCTTTGGGTCGCCATTCCATCCCCCCTCGTTCACATCCAAATGGTTGTTTTGGGTCTTCTGATGCCTGATACCTGATCCCATTAACACCTCATGATCACATGGGTCGGTGTACTTCTTCCATGTGGGCTTTTTTGCTTCCCTGCTAGATGGCTGCTTGTTTAACTTCAAGCCTTTAAGATCCCAGACATTGTATCTTCTAATAGCCAGATACCATCAGCTCCTATCTTCTTCGCCACTTTAGCTTATGTACCCATTTTGTCTTCAGTGATCGGTGTAGAGAAAGTGAATATCACGGAATGCCAGGTTATTAGAACAAAGTGTTCTTGCGTTGAGGGAGGACTTGAGTAGAGACCCAATGTCTGTCTGCTACCTTGATACTTAACATATAAATATATGTACATAGACCTATCCCTATTGTTATGTTAATATGTTTATATCTGTACATGCCTATGTTGATACCTCTATAAATGTCTTTTGCCTCCTACTTCTTTCCTCTGTTTCCCTTTACTTTCCTCCTGTCCCGCTATCATGTTCAACCTTCATTGGGCTCTCTGTACTTCTTCTTGGCTACATTGCACTTAATCGAACCCCAACAAGCATTCTATGCCTTCCTCCCCCATTGAATTTAGATCTCTTGTTGTTCTCTCATCACTGGGTTTGTTGGCTACACCCTCCCTCTCCCCACCTCCTCCTCTCCCTTGTGCCCCCAGAACCATCGGTGGGAGCCTCTTTTAAATGCTGTCTCTTGTTCCTTGGTTTTTCAGCCTCAAAGATGCTTTTTACGAAATGGAATCTCAATGCCCTGAAGACATCCTGCTCTCCAGTTGCGTCTCTGTGTGGAACATGGCCGCTAAGCTGAAACAGGACAGGGACAGAGGATGGGAGGAGCTCCTCAACTCTGCCTCTCAGCTTCACACAATGTAATGGCCTTCCATGCCTGAGATCGAGCACAGACCCAGCCACCAAGTTTTTTTATAAGACTAGTATTAAAAAAAAAAAAAAAAAAAGACTACTATATAGTTAAGAGGGATTAAGTTTTAGCTTTTTTTTCCCGTCTCCTAATTTACTTCTCAGTCACAGAAGAAGACATTCTGGCTTTCTTCTTTTTCCTCAATTACAAATATTCTACAAAAGCAAGAAAATGGGGAGTGTTTTGTCAGTGCTATAAACCAAACCAACAAAAAAATCTGACCCAGACCCCTCAAGGAAGTTGTGGTCTAATTTCAGAGGTTAGAATCTTGCTGCTTTTATGTGAGGATCATTACAGGGACACCGTATGGGCCTGAGTCTCCTCGTGCATAAAATGAAAGTTCCTCCCAACTCTAAAATTTCAACTTTCTAAATAAATCAAAGCCAACTCAAGTAACTTGGGTCAAAGGTATGGTTCTGGCACTTTTGTGAATAATTTTTGAGAGTCAAGTAAACATGAAGACTTAGTGTGATTCTGATTTCCCTGAATGAGAATACCTAGTGTTTTCATTCAGTCTCAGCCAAGGCACAATACCAGAGATTCAAAGAAAGTACGAAACCAACGTAGTTTCTGAAAATTGTAAAGGGACTACTCAACGAACCCTGACTGTGTGCGGCAAGCCTCGTGTGAGTCTTTTTTTTTCCTAAATCTGGTCGGACAGTTATGACATCTCTGAACCAACTCCTCTTCCTAGATAGTTTAGCACCATTTGCACTGACATTAAGACAGCAACTCTTTACAACTTTGTCACACGTGCCTTTAATAGAACTTCTAAATTGGCTCACGAAACAACCTGTGCATGTGGCAGTGAGTTATTTCATGTGACCAAAGTCTAGCCAAAGTCTCTAAGTCCCATCAACGACCTTGTATGAGCCCGCAATAAAATGATTAAAAAAGAAAATGCAAGCTCAACAACCGTTCTTAGTAACAAGGCAAAGTTCCCAAGGTCTGGCCACATGCATTGATGTGCTAGTGAGGGAATGTCTTAATATAACCAACAAATCTGAGGTTACTATGTAAACTGAGACAGAAGAAAGTTTCCGATGGGGAGGAGGAAGGGAGAAAAGAACTAAGGTTTTGCACTGAAAAGCAATCCACCAAGCCACAATGTGTTATCTTTATGGCATTCTGCATTTCCCAGTATCTTCACATTCAGTCCCAGTGCCAGCAACATGAATCTGTCTCCATTTAGGGGAAAAAAGTACCAGGAGCATGCATCTACTCACTAGAGCAAATTCTGACAATTCACACATGTCAATCTCTACGTATTCATTTTCAGGGCAGTAGGAACCTACTTCCTCCGAGGAACTAGCAGGGCACGGGCAAGGGCAGAGCGAAATGAAGGAAAGGGCCCTGGGCAAGCAGTCTCATACGCCTGCAGTCTGTTTCATGCTCAAGTGCTCTATCTGTAAGAACGACCCTGTTCCCTGTCCCTTCACCATGAAACGGATTAGTGGTCTACATCCCCCAATATTCCTTCCTCAGCCCAAAAGACAGCTAATTCCTCAGTACCCACTAGTTCTGCCCCCAGGTCTGTCAGTCTGTGAATGACTGAATTGCCAAAGTCAAAGTCTCTGTCCTGAATATCCTGTGACATCACAGGGCTAACAACATAGCAAGATATACCTGAGTATAAGTCTTGGCTCCCCCATTTGCAGGCTGTATGACCTTAGCCAAGTCACTCAACTAAAATCTCTCAGTTTGAAGGTAGGAAATGAGAGAATGTGTGTTTTCGAATGGTACAACATATCATCAGCAGCAACAAAAGCAATTCTACTCATTCCTTCTCAGCTAAATGAACTCTTGTCCATCTTTAAATGTCCCCACCAGCTGTCAAACACCATATGAAGCCTTCCCAGAACCTCAACTCCAATTTTAGTCTTCTATATTTTCCTCTTGCATTCTCTTCAGATGTAAATTGCTTATCCATATACTTTAATGACTCTACTAGTAGAAGACTGTCATGGATCACATGACAGTATTGGAACCCTGACAGGTATATCTGCAGGCATAATCCTGATTGGGGAATTGAGGTTTCTTTGTTGTGTTAATTAGGTCCTATCTGTGTAAGGTGGGTTCTAAACCTAATCACTTCTGAGTAATTAAAGAGAAGATTAGGATCAAAGGTTCAGACTTGGGAAACGGCAGACACAGGAGCTATGAGAGTGAGGAACCAAGTCTAGGAACCAAGGAAGGAATCAACATGGCTGAGACCCTGATTTGGACACTGGGCCTCCTAAACTATGAGCAAATACATTCCTGTTCCTTAAAGACACCCACTGATGGTGCTTCTGTTAGAGCTGCACTGGAACCCTGAGACCTATCTCACCCAGGGTCCAGTCACTGCCCTTTGGCCTCACTGGCTCTCTCTCAGTACCTCTTTCCGACCTCACCCTGCACAAGTGCCTTGGCCTGAAATGCTCTCTCCTCTTCCTCAGTGACCTCGGAGCTGCACTCTCCAACAGGGCTTCCCAACCCCCAGTTTAAAGCAGGTTCCTGGGCTTTTCTCCGCATCTCTTGTCACAACTTACAATGACATATGCACGTGTCTTGTTGTCCCTGACCAGACATCCACCACCACCGTGAGGAAGGTGCACAATACCTGGTTAAAAGGGCACTAGTTCCTGAAGCTCAACGGAAGCCCCTCGGGGATTAGTGTGGTGGGTGGAGACTTCTGCCCACCCAGATCTAGATCCGGGCCAACACTCGCCCAGCCAGTCACATCGCCAGG